AGCTCTTCTTCCAGACACTCGGTTTCACACCATCACAAACATCATCCACGGACTCCAGGTCTTCCCGATCACCACAATAAGAACGTGCCTCGGCCTGTTGGGACACACAGCCTCTTGCACTTACGTAACCAGACATGCCAGACTTCGGCTTCGCCCACTTCAGGCCTGGGTATCGTCGGTGTACCATCCTTATCGGGACAACCTGAGCATGGTGGTCACGGTTCCAGACTCGGTCTTGACCTCTCTCACCTGGTGGCTGGATCACAAGGCGGTTTCCGCAGGAGTGCCATTTCACGCCCCACAACCCTCCCTGCACCTGGTCACAGACGCTTCGTCTCTAGGTTGGGGCGCTCACCTCGGGGACCACCATACCCAGGGCCTGTGGACCGCACCCCAACTAGCTCTGCACATCAACGTTCGAGAGCTGATGGCGGTGCGCCTAGCCTGTCAGGCATTTCTCGGTCTCCTACATGACCGTTGCGTGTCAGTCCTCACAGACAACACCACGGCCATGTTGTACATCAACAAGCAAGGAGGAGCCCGGTCGTCTCTCCTATGCCAAGAGGCCATTCGCCTGTGGGAGTTCTGCATTGCCCACTCGATACATCTCACGGCATCGCTCCTCCCTGGAGTCCAGAACACTCTAGCGGACCGTCTCAGCAGATCCTTCCAGACGCACGAGTGGTCGATGCGTCCAGATATAATCTATTCCATCTTCCAGAGGTGGGGATTTCCCCAGGTTGACCTGTTCGCATCGCGAGCCAACAGGAAGTGCCATGCGTTCTGCTCCCTACAAGGGCGATCTCCGGGCTCCCTGTCGGACGCTTTCCTTCTGACGTGGAAAGACCAGCTGTTCTACGCTTTTCCTGCATTCCCACTGGTCCACAGGGTACTACTCAAGCTACGCAGAGACCAGGCACATATGATTCCAGTCGCTCCAGCTTGGCCAAGGCAGCACTGGTACACCACGCTTCTGGAGCTATCTGTTCAAACTCCAATCATGCTTCCCGTGTGCCCAGATCTGATCTCTCAGGACCACGGCCGACTCTGTCACCCCGACCTGCAATCGCTCCACCTCACGGCGTGAATGCTCCATGGCTGAATTGGACAGAGCTACAATGCTCACATCCCGTGCAACAGATTCTGCTGGGAAGTAGAAAGCCCGCTACACAGACCACTTACTTAGCCAAGTGGAAATGGTTCTCCTGTTGGTGCGAGCAGCGGGCCACGCCCCCCTTGCAGGCGTCTATTCCTTTTATACTCGAATATCTCCTATCCCTTAAGCAGCAGGGCTTGGCGATATCTTCAATCAGGGTTCACCTGGCCGCTATATCGGCTTTCCACCCAGGAGAACTCGCTTCCTTGGTCTTCTCTAACCCGATGGTCGTCAGATTCCTCAAGGGCTTAGAACGACTGTATCCACAGCAACGACAACCCGTTCCGGCGTGGGATCTCAACCTGGTTCTTTCCAAGCTCACAGGGCCCCCATTCGAGCCATTGGCTACTTGCTCACTCCTGTACCTATCTTGGAAGACAGCCTTCCTTGTAGCCATCACTTCAGCAAGGCGTGTTTCTGAAATCAGGGCGTTCACGTCGGAGCCTCCATACACAGTTTTCCATAAAGACAAGGTGCAGCTTCACCCCCACCCTGCCTTTCTCCCCAAGGTAGTTTCAGCTTTTCATGTGAACCAGGATATATTTCTCCCGGTCTTCCATCCTAAGCCGCACGCTACCCGTCAAGACGAGCGTATGCATTCCTTGGACATACGCAGGGCCCTGGCTTTCTATATTGAGCGTACAAAGCCGTTTAGGAAGACGACACAACTCTTCGTTGCAGTGGCCGACCGGATGAAAGGCTTACCGGTCTCCTCACAGCGTCTCTCCTCTTGGATCACGTCCTGTATTCGTGCTTGCTACGACCTGGCCGGTGTCCCGACGCCGCGCCTCACCGCCCACTCCACGAGGGCCCAAGCCTCCTCAACTGCCTTCCTGGCTCATGTCCCGATCCAGGACATTTGTAGAGCCGTGGTTTGGTCATCGGTCCACACCTTCGCCGCTCACTATGCGCTGGTACAGCAGTCCAGAGACGATGCTGCATTCGGATCAGTGGTTTTGCACACAGCAATGTCTCACTCCGACCCCACCGCCTAGGTAAGGCTTGGGAGTCACCTAATTGGAATCGATATGAGCAAGCACTCGAAGAAGAAAAAACGGTTACTCACCTTTGTAACTGTTGTTCTTCGAGATGTGTTGCTCATATCCATTCCAAACCCGCCCTCCTTCCCCACTGTCGGAGTAGCCGGCAAGAAGGAACTGAGGGGTCGCTGGGTCGGCTGGGGTATATATCCAGCGCCATGAAGGCGCCACTCCAGAGGGCTCCACAGCCGACCCATCGGGTGTTGCTAGGGTAGAAAATTTTTCCGACGATCGTGCACGCGTTGGAATGGATATGAGCATCACATCTCGAAGAACAACAGTTACAAAGGTGAGTAACCGTTTTTTATTAGTTGTTTGCAGTGTTGTTGTAGCTGTGTTGGTCCCAGGATATGAGAGACAAGTATGCCTGAACCCCTTATGGGTAACAATTTGTCCCAACTTGTATTTAGCTTAGACGCTCCGGTTACCATCCCCAGACGGGAAGAGCTCTGTGAAACTTGAAAGCTTGTTCTGGCCCCAAACATAGTTATGCCTTCCACTACACCAGGAGCACAAACTTGTCAAAGCCCGACATGGAGTGAGTTAGGATTGCACATTTAATGAGTCACGGAGGTGGTCTCAGAGTCATGGATGGAGGCAAGTATGAAAAGAACTAACATTGATGTGGACACAGTGGCAAAATGAGGACAGACACATATATGGAATTAAGCGGCAGGCCACAACTTTTCTTAAACTTTAACACAGGGGAGGGTCGCTACCTGCTTATCACCCATACTTTCCCATACCAGCATGGGCGGCAGGTGAACCGCAGGCTCAGGGAGGCTAGCCCCCGCCCCGTCCCTTGTGCCTGAGGCCCTGCCCCTGCCGGAGCCTAGCACCTCCAGCCCCAGAGTGCCAGGCAGGCAGCACAGTCCCCAGCGCCTCCTGCCCTGGAGCGCCAGGTGGGTGGGCGGTGCGTGCACTGGCTCCAGCCGCCTGTAGTCCCTGGCCGCAGGCTGGCCCCATTAGCCCCAGCCGAGGGCCCAGGCCATGGGGGAAGAGCTGCAGAGCGCTGGGAAGCAGGAAGGAGCCTGGGGGTGGAGCAAGGGCAGGGCCACACAAGGCTGTTTTGGGAGGCTCAGCCTCCCCCGGCCTTTGATACCTGCTGCCCATGTATACCAGGCATTTAATTGGTTCCAGTGCAGGGGTTACAGGTCTCCATATCATATAACCTGTAATTTGGGGTAGGGTATCCTCCGCTACCCCCTAGGACGCAACTCTCTGAGTCCTAGGACTTTAACAATAACAAATGTGTTTTGGTGTGGAGGAGGGATTAATAAATAGATATTTAACCTCTGGATATTTCTTCCTTGGATTACAGTAGTAGAAATTTTGAGCTGAAACTGCATTAGTTAAAAGTTTTTCTGATACTGTTTTCTTTTCTGACGCTGTTTTCTTCTCTGTGCTCTTTGTTCACATAGTTTATCTTTTCTTTTCCTTGAAATTACTTCTCTTCTTTTTCTCTTTCATTGTCGTTCCTTCCATTTCTCCGCCTTTCTTTAGGAATTAGTCTCCCATCTTCACTCCTTCCTCTTATAGCAATTCTGTGGTTATCTTAGCAGCTTTATCCCGAAGGACTTAAAAGTGACACCATAGTCTGGGAGGTTGTCTTGATAATGTGATATAAAAGTGTGTTTTCCCCTTTTTTAAAGTAAATTAAGAATATTTATTTTCTCCAAGCTAGTCATCTTGCAGGATATGAAAATTAGAATGCATACCCCCTCCAACAGAGGGGCAGTTCTGTAGGTGCTAGCTAGGTGGTGGTTGTACATAATGCATTCCCTGTGGTGCACCAACAGCATTGTGAAACTGTTCAGCAATTCTGTGGCTACAGGCATACCTGCTTGGGGCCTGATGTAATACCAGTATTGCCAACTCTTGTTGTTTTTATCAATTTTGGGGGTGTTTTTTTTACCTGTTTCATGAAAACAAGATGAAAGGCTGCCAACTGATTAATTTTTCCTTATTCAAAATGGCCACCATCTCTGATTATTGTCAGTGGAACTGAAGACCGCAAGATGGTAGACTGCAGGGAAGTGACAATCTGCAAATTGAAGTGAGGCTGCCCTTAATAAAAGTGGCTGCCATCTCCCATTGTTTTCAGTGAGACTGAAGCCATATCCTCAGGCATGATGGCTGCCACTCTGTGGTTCAGCAGGCTAGTCAGGACATATGGACTGTGAGGAGCAGCTTAGACACGGTGAAAGGTAGATAGTGGGAATGACAGGGAAAAGGTGATAGATTTAGGGGGTACAGGAGAAAGGGGGGCACAGGAGGAGAGGGGTGGAGAGGAGAGTGGAGGAGGAGGATGATCTGTCATAGTGATGGGCAGAGAAGAGCATGTGTGGTGGGGCTCAGTGAGTACTGTCCAGTCTCTGGTAGAGAAGTGGGAGGAGGTTAGGGAAGTGTTGCTTCTTGCAAAAGGCTAAATCAATTCCATAGTTTTACTATGACATTATTGCTTATGTGATTAATATAAGACAGACTAAACCCCATGATTTGATGAGTTTTAAAATCTCATGTTTTGGGGGGCCAGTCTGATGATTTTTGATCTCTTGAGGTTGGCAATACTATAATACCATGACAAATTTAGTGTTCTACTTTCATATAAACAAACAGTTAAAACTGGAGCTGTTTAAGAAAATAAAACAATTGTATGTATGTTTATGCATTTTTATTATTAATTAAATAAATCAGTTATGATTTTATGTCATGCTTTTCCCCCTCAAAGTTCTCTTTAGCAGTGGTGCGGAACTTATCTTTAATTCTGTTTTCTTTAAATATTTTTATTTCCTTGTTCACAGAATTACAAGAAATTGTATTTGTCATCCAGAGTCAAAGTAACTCTTTTCATTCTAAAAGAGCAGAAGATTTAGAGCGCAATATTTTAAAACAGGCTGAAGAGCTTGGAAAGGTATGTGTAGATAAAATATACTGCGTGCTGCTTGCATATGTCTGTACAACATTTTACTACCTTTCTACTGAGCCTATTTTTATAATCCATTTTATTTTGTTAGCCTATCTCATGGCTTGTCTACATAGTGCATTAGTCTATATCAGAGAGCTGTAAATTGTGATGTGCACTAACTGACGCGTGTGGACCCTTCCGTTGTGCACATTTAACATAGTACTGTTTTAAATGAATGCACATTAGGGAGATTTTAGTGCACACTAGAAGAGTCCACGTCACTCAGTTAGTGCACGACATGCTAGTGCATGCTAGAATTTACACCATTCTGATGCAGACTAGCAAACCATGTAGACAAGCCCTCAGAATATATTTGTTTACTCTTCTCTGTGCAGTTTCTGAGGACATGGTTTAAGCTCAAGGATATCACTGATGGCATATGATGATGATCACCAAGTGGGATTTTCATGTTGAATTACATACTGTAGTGAATAAAGTATGTAAAACTCTTTTTGTGTAGGTGGAATTTGATCTGAAATGATAAAAGAAGTTGTTGAATGGAAAAAGCTTACAAATAGGGTCTAATGGTATAAGTTTTTTTTAGTTTTTTTTCTATGTTTTTTCTGATGAAGTAGGTACATCAGTTTAAGTTTATATGAAGGATCACTTTCAGGGGCACAACTTAACATTTGTAATGCATCTTCATTTGCTTCTGAATAGCTTTTGTCTGCGTTTTTATCACGTAAATGTATTATCACTGGTTTAGAATGAGCATTAGTCAGAAATTTGGATCACAGAACCTTAGCTTAGAACTAAAATTGATTTTTTTAAACCATAGTTGTTCAAAGATCTTAAAATAATTTCTCTTCCTCATTTTTTGAACCTTTAAAATAAAAGTTTATATTTAAAATGAAATTGAGAAGTAACATACTGTGGTGGGGTTATTGAACTGAACTTTTGTCTCTAGTAAACTGGATTCAAAAAGTTATTGTTTAAAAAAAAAAAAGTGCTATGTGCACTAAATCTCTAGGATTCTTGCTGCCCTTGTATGAAATGCTTCCTAATTATGTATTTACCTGAGCTGATCAATACTATATTAATTAAATATGTTCTAGCTGCCCTTTTTTCAGGCCCCATTTCTGTAATTGCAGTCCTCGCACTCACATGGAGCCCCTGTTAACTTCAGTGGGCTCCTCGCATGGGTATATTTGCACAGCTCCAATGGCAGGAACAAGGTGTTGGCTATTAAAAATGGATTCCTGGTAAACTTTGTTAATGTTGACACCTCAGAATGTCACTGGCCGGGAACCAGAAAAGTCAACAAGAGGGAGCATAGATATGTTCATCAAGAGGGAATATAGACATGCTTGTTTACACAAGGGAAGGAAGAGAGGTTAACATCCTGTAAGTAGGCAATAATCTTATAGTTGGGAGCAACTCTCACATCTGAATGAAGTAAAGTGGGTTTTTTTTAGTATTGGGTTTATTTTTGCAAGTAAAGAGGATCCCAAAGTGCTTTAGAAAAATGATCCCTTCATCCTAGATTGAAATGGCAACACTTTTCAGATGTAACAACACCTGCTTAACAGTCCACGTGACGATTTAGGACAGGAAGTGAGGAAAACGAAGCAAACTGAAAACTTATGTCCAGAACCTGACAGAGGGGGGCGGAAAAAAAGGCAGCAAAATACAGAAAAAAGTTCAGCAAACCTCTTTGTATTCCTTGTGTCTCTATTTTCCTGTCGTCACTTTCAAATACAGTACCCTCAACCATTGTGAATAAGACCGTGAGTATTGATCACTGAAGGGAAAAATCTTTGAAATCTCTGTGCGTTGAAATTTGGAGTTCAGACCTCCATTTGAAAGAATATGTTCAAGGGGATTACCTTCAGATCATACTGAAGTTAAGTCCTTGATAATATGCATCTTAAGCATTTACAGATAGTGAGTTTTAAAATTGAAAAAATAAAACCTGTCATCTGTATTTATTTTGTTTACTGAACTACAATGAATGTCTCTTGCAGTGTTTTAAAAGTCACTGCACTGTTTGCATCCGCTCTAAAAGTTTCCTATTATTGTATGATTTCTTTTTTATTTTACACTTCACATTTTAAAAATTTAACCCTACCTATTTTATACTATCATTCAGGTTACCACTAGATGTCAGCGTTGCTTTAATTGTTAAAATGAAGTTGATGCATATTACTTAGCTATAAAATGTTTTTTCCAATATTTTTTCATATTAAGCAATGATTAAAACCCAGTGATGAGGAAAATTTCTTACGTTCTTTACCAGTTTTTTTAAGCTATACAGTGGAGCATAATAAAAATAGAAATACAATATTATAATATTTGGACTTGGCTCACCCCAGGAATTTAGAAACACTGCTACTTCTGGGAATAGCTAACTTTACAGCTGAAACAGCCTGTAAAAATATTGCCCCTTTAAAATCACCAAATCACTCTGAACTACTAATGGAGTTTTTGAAGCAGTAGTAGTGGTTTGGTTGCCTCTAGGGGCTGATAAAACTACCTTGGAAGACAGGGAGACTATGTATCAAGTTGATCTAGTATATAAAACATGCTCTTATTATAAGAGCCTTCAGGTTACAGAAAACTCTGCAACTAATACATTACGTTTGTAAACATTATGTCGCTTTTAAAAAGCGTAAAGATGAAAATGAATTATGAATGACTTAACCAAACAGCAGTGATGTAAAGTTTCTGGAACTCGGGTGTCATTAATACACAAGTTTACTTGAACATAAAGTTTACAAAGCTTTTAAGAGTGCAAAAATATAATTTTAAATCCTTTTCATTCAGTCTTCATTGCCTTTGTTTTCCAGGGTGTTGCATGCATCCATGGGATTAATATGTATAAATGCTATTGTATAAAACAAACTTCATATATCTCTATAATGCACAGTATTTGTGCCATAGCGCTTTGCCTGTTATGAGCAGAGATCCTAGAAATCCATTTGCTGTGATAAAAATGTGGAAAAATATAGACTTTGCATTTTTACAGGGAATCTTTAGTTTTTACATTTTGTGAAAAAAAATAAAAACATATATTAACTATTAACTAAATTTTGTTGAAAGATACTGTGATCATATTTCCCAAAGTGAAAATGGGAGACTACATACAGGCTGGCCTGAGGTGTCCTGGGCTGGTGTTTACAGCCCGAGCCCTGTCGCCGCTTGCCCCCCTGTACATTCCTCTGCGCCCCCATAGGGGGTGTGACAGACCCAGACCAGTGGGGTACAGGAGTCTGGTAGAGGGCAAATATACTGGTCACTGGATGAGTAGTTTTCTGTTCCCTGAGTGACCAGAGAAGGGGCTGCACTAGAGTAATCAGGAACCTGCTAGAACCAGTTAAGGCAGGCAGGCTAATTAGGACACCTGGAGCCAATTAAGAAGAAGCTGCTAGAATCAATTAAGGCAGGCTAATCAGGGCACCTGGGTTTTAAAAGGAGCTCACTTCAGTTTGTAGTGCGACAGTGTGAGGAGCTGGGAGCAAGCGGCGCAAGGAGCTGAGAGTGAGAGGGTGTGCTGCTGGAGGACTGAGGAGCACAAGCGTAATCAGACACCAGGAGGAAGGTCCTGTGGTGAGAATAAGGAAAGTGTTTGGAGGAGGCCATGGGGAAGTAGCCCAGGGAGTTGTAGCTGTCATGCAGCTGTTACAGGAGGCACTATAGACAGCTGCAGTCCACAGAGCCCTAGGCTGGAACCCGGAGTAGAGGGCGGGCCCGGGTTCCCCCCAAACCTTCCAATTGACCTGGACTGTGGGTTCTTCCAGAGGGGAAGGTCTCTGGGCTGTTCCCCAACCCACATGGTGAATCTCTGAGGCAAGAAAATCTGCCAATAAGTGCAGGACCCACCAAGATAGAGGAGGAACTTTGTCACAGGGGGCACATCCCACTTTTTTGGCAAAACTAGTCATTTGTCCTGTTTGCTGCTCAGTTGGCAAGAGCAAATGAGACAAATGCCCAGTTTTGCCAAAAAGTCAGGATGTCCGGGACAGGGCTTAAAAAAGGGACTGTCCTGGCCAAAATGGAGTGTATGGTCGCCTTAGTTGAGTTGATACCTATATATATTGTGGCTAGGGAAACTAAAGTTCATCATTTCATTTTAATTGCAGAAAAATATGGACTTTTATGTTATATCAAAATTCTTCAATAAAAAATATTTATCACGGAAAACTAGAATCCCTGGGTCTGAGCAAAATCACATTCTAAAGCATATGCAGAGTTTAAACTGATGCAAGGTACAAAGGCTAGTCTACACTAGAAGCTACAACTAGAAGCTAATGTAGCATGTTGGGTGAAGACACTCTATGCCAACAGGAGAGAACTCTTCTCTGTGCCAACAATTGGCATAATAAAACCACTTCTGTGAGAGGCAGTAGCTATGGTGGTGGGAGAACCTCTCCTGTCATCATAGCACTGTCCACACTCAGGACCGGATTAACCTTTTGTGGGCCTGACGCTAAACATATTTGTGGGCTCCCAGGGGGAATGTTTGTAAAAGACAAGTGATTGACACAGAAGTTGTCTTTGACACAGCACACAGTTGTACAAGTTTCATTTACAATGTTTACAGATTTAAATTGCAGATGGAGGTGGCTGTCACTAGGGTACCAGCAATGGTAGCCCTAGGACAAAAAGAATACATAGAAGTGTACATAAAATACATTCTAAAAGAAAAAATAAAACACAGTGGATAAAAGCAGCTAACAAAAGCCAAAGCTGGCCAAAACATCAGCCATGTGCTGCTCCCATTAAAAGGGAACCTTCACACTATCTCACCCTTCACATTTCTCATATGAATTACTAGTGCTTCAATTATGTTTTTGTATGAAATTGGGGCAAATTAAAAACTGTTTAAAACATTTTAAAAATAAAAAACATGAAAAACTTTAATACATTTTATTTACAGTGTCATTATTCATATTAGTCCAGCTTCAGGACAGACAGCAGACAGGACCCTGCACTCCAAACACTCCCAC